TGGGTATAGGTTTGTGGGTATGTAGGGTGTGGGGGAGGGTGTGTGTATGTGTGATTTGTGGGTGGCAGTGGGGTTTGTGTATGGGGGAATTTGTGAAGGGGGGTGTTGTGGAGGTGTGTGTGGGGTTTGGATCCCAAGGAGAGGTGAGGGTCCCTGCACACCCTGGCAGGATGTTGGGTACTGTGAGTCAGGAGTGAGGGGCAGCAGCAGGGCTGGGGGGGCGTGGCTTGGGAGGGACAGACACAAGCAGACAGACATGCACAGTGCTCAGCAGGTAAATCTGTGGAGGGGGAGAGGCAGGGAGAGAGGAGCAGATCAAGGCTCCCACAGTGAGGAAGGAAGTGGGGCAGGGGCAAAGGGAATGGGACCCTGGGGCCAGGTCAGGTTGTGGGATGGAGCCCGGGGTGCTGCGGGAGGCATGTCTCCCCACCATTGCACACACCCTGGTGGAACCATGGAGGGCATGCTGCATGCTGGGCTCGGTGCAAAACTCCTGAGGTGGCAGCAGCAGTGCAGTGCAGAGCCCAGCATGCAGAGGGCAGTCCGCCTCCATTCTGTGCACAGGTCCAGGGGGCACATGCCCCACATGCATCTACCTGGGTTTGCATGATGATCAGGAGCCCCCTCCTCCATGCCCCTGAATGAACCGCCCAGGCTCTGACTGTCCCACCACCCATCCCAAGGCCCCATTCACCCTAGCCTCTGCCTCTGCCCCACTCCCTCTCTCACTGTGGGGGCCTCGACCTGCCCCCTCCTTCCCCCAACACATTTACTTCCTGGGTGCTGCTCTGCACGTAGTGCTGTGTTCCTGGCCATGTGCAGCCGGCTACATGCAGCAAGCTGCTGCTGGGCTTTGGGTGTGTGCGGCTCCTCCCCCCGGATTTCTGTGTACCATTCCCAGGTCGTCTGCATGCCACTGGTACTACGCCTACCACAGTCTGGGAACTGCTGACCTAGAGTAATCCTGGTATATCTCATTTCTCCATCAACTGAGGTTAATTTTAAAAAATCCATTGATTTCAGTGGTTCAGGATCAACTCCTTACTAATTGTGCATCTGGGCTCATATTCAGGGGAGCATTTAAACGCATACTTTCATATCTGGCAGAATCAAAATCCTATGGTAAAATTCCATTGGATTCTCAGTACAGAATTGACCTCTGTTGAATATTGTGGGACAAGTGTGAAGTGTGTGAATGCGCTGATGACTCACCATGTGTGCAAGATGTCAGCAGTGTGGATCAGAGTTGAAAATGTCACCAAAAGTATGGGTTTCTATGGATGGCCCTGATTAACTTTTACACAGTGATTATGTGTCTCCCAGGTTATTATTTGCAAGAATCTGATCAGGTTATATTTTTGGTCAGAATAGATTATTTTGATTTTTTTTTAAAATCACTAAATATGTCATCATATCAATTACACCTCAAAATGTGTTTGTGGAAAAAATAGTGTGGATTACTCATCTTCATATTACTCTATAATGTATATATTTTTATATAGGGATACTATGTGATGACTCTACTGCTCTTACCAAATAAATACAGCAAAACATTTTAAGCTCATTGTATATCTGTACTTAAACATGCATCTGAGGCAACTGGAACTTTTGCTAAAATGAAGACTGAGTTGAAGTGTGGGTCAGGTTAATTGGATACCAGTCAGCTCATCAGGAAATTTTAAAGCAAGGTTTTATAGATATTAGATAGTTTACCTGAGCATCAACAAGGATAATGCAAAGAAGGCAACATGATTAAAACTATAATGTTTCTGTAGGTTATTAAAAAGAACAAATGACTAACCAGTAAATAACAGGTTTAAGGTGTATCATGGTTCAAATACTTACCCCCACAAATACAACATAAATGAAGAAGAGACAACCCATTGTCCGTGCGATAATTTAAATTGACTTTGCTGAAGGCTTCATCAGAGCTGAAAGAAGAGATTTTACAGATGATTACAGTTTTCATCCATAAGCAGATTTTATTTCATTTGGAAAATTTTAAAAGAGAAATCTCACTGCAGGTTCACAGAGACACAAAGCTGGATTCTGATCTCTGTTACACCACTATAAATCCGCAGATATATCACTGATGTCAGTGGATTAACTTAACTGCAATAAATTAAACCAGAATTCAACTTGTATGTTTTCCTTAGCTCTACTTCTATTTTGACATTGCATAAACATTTACAAACAGCTATGTCAGAAGAATAAAAGGAGAGGAAAAATTCTTTTAAAAAAGAAAAAAAAATCTAATCTAAGATTGATTCTTTATTGTGGATAAAAAGGGATAAGGAAAAAGAAAAAGTCTGTGTATTCATTTCCATGATGTCCTTGTAGCAGGGGAAGGGGAAAGAAAGTGAGTAAAGCTTATTTAAAAAATAGACCCATGAAAAAATAGACCTGTCAGCAAATACTTTCTGTTTCCCAATTGAGACTTTCACAGAAAGGTGGTGAAGCCCCATTAAACGAATAATTGAGAGACTAGTTAAAGGAGCTCTTCAGGAAGGGAAATATGGTGCCTTCCACTTAAAATGGGTTGCAGCTTCTATAAGAAATGAATACATTTTTTCCCACACATGATAAGACTCCAACTGCAAACTGATAAAAGTTTGTCATATTCTGCAAACCCCAGCCAGTTGCTTCTACTTTTGAATGGATGTTGAACTGTAAAATACAATGGAAGCTAATGTGTTAAAGAAGTAAATATATTACCTTTGGTTTGTACCAACCTAGAGTTCATAAAATAAAATGAATAGAACAAGGGAGAATATAATTTGTGCCAGTTAGGTGTTTGACATTTCTACCACGGTGGCCAAATGTCCTTGCTACAAAGCTCAGTGGTACAAGGTTAAATTTAATAATAAGCTTTATTCTCCATCTGAACTGCACAGAAACCTATTATAAATCTTACATCTGTTTTATAGTATGTACAGTAGTTTTATGAAACACATTTCCCAGCAGGAAGAGCAAAGTGCATTGGCACATTCTCCTTCTTACTGACTGTAAGGAGTTTAAAATACAATGCATGCAGATGATATATGTTAACACTCTTGGCAATGAGGCAGAGGCATGTTGGGGAGGGAAAAGGCAAGGAGCTGTTGAAGTCAACCTGAAAATGTTAAACAGTTTGTGATGCATAACACCTTCATTGGTGGTAGACAATGGAAAGAGAGCATACTGAGATATGGCTTTTGCTGTATCATTAAGGATGGAATAGTTAGTGCTCCCCAAACACAGCACTGTCATTTCAGAAAGTGCATTCTTTAGTATCTAATCACTGAAAATGCAATGCTTCAGCCCCTGCAAGAGTAAATAAGGGGGTTGTTAGCCCAAATGACTTCAATTGCTATAGTAGCACATGGTGAGTTCTACACTACCTTCTCTTCACAAGTTTGTTGTATACCATTCTATCATATAATTTCTTAATAACCTTAAGAAAACTGGGACGGTGAGGCAGTTTAATTTGGTGCCTAGGTTTCAAATTCATTTAACCCAGTGTGGATACATATACACACACTCACACACACACATACAGTAAATGTAAAAATGTATCTTGTATATATACAATATATATTTACTGTAAATATATTATATATTTACAGTAAATATATACAGATTGTGTGTTTGTGTGTGTGTGCAATCTGGGAATGGGATAACAAAACACATTCACCCTCTCACACAGACACCCATGTACACAAGGCATACAAAGTTCATCTACTTATGTCAAGGAAGGAACAAGCACAACATGGAGTTTTAGTTGTTCATACAATCATAGAGGTACTATTATCATTTAAGCATAATAAATAATATGAAAAATTTCATACTACAAAGGCACTGATGGGGACTGAGCACAATGGATCCTATATCTTATTCAGATGAGCTGCACTGGCCTGTTTTTGTGGTGGGTTCCCATCAGCATTTGTTGGCACTGGGGCAGGGTGTCAAGGCTTGCTCCAGTCTCTCTGGATGCCAGCCTGGTGTTGTGGTATTTCCAGGCCCATGGGCCATTTGCTTCTGCAGGGGCAGCCACCTGATTTTTTGTGAAGGGCCACACCCCCCCCCCCAAAAGGTTCTGATTAACATCTTAGCCTTTTGCCTAAGATCAAGCATTTTTGGCACCAATGGGAGAGTCTCTGGCCCTCCTGGTGTTGGCCTTGTATTGCAGTACCTCCAGGTTCAATGCCAGCTCCCCATGGAGGGAACATGTGCCCACTATTTTTTAAGGACAAAGGGAAAAAAACCCCAAATGTTCCCAACATCACTGAAAGTCTGATCAATACCTTTAAGGCAGAGAAAGGGACTGATAGAGCATTGGGGTATAAGGAATGGAGAAATGGAGACCTGAAACTCAAAACAATGGCAATGGTGGCAAGTAAGCATGAGGTAGAAAAAGAGTTGAGGAGCAGAAATGAAAGTCTGGGGACAGATGGCGAGTGGACAAACGTGGAGAAGTGGACAAGAAAAAAGGTGATGGAAGGAGCAATAGAAGGGCAACAACAATGGCAGCAGCAAAGAAGGAGGTGATGAGACTGATGATGCCAAAGAGAAGACAGGAGCAGAGGAGAATGGGCAACAGACTGGGAGCATCAGGAGAAGGTACATTGGGTGAGAGACAAAGGACAATGGGAACACGATGGGATGCCAGCCCACCAAGAGTGGCATAGTGGGAAGACATTGGAAACATGACAAGAGATGGCAGGGAGGATTAGAAACTGTGGATCAAGACAGTACAGAACTCAGACAGGATCAGTGTTAAGCAGATACGACTTTTTGGAAAAGATACTATTTGAGATGCTGGAGGTGCAGCCAGAGCACCTGACCAGCCTAATTGCTTTTCCAAACAGAAAGTCTTGGCAAATCACTTACTGAAATAGAGATGGGTATGAAAATTTTTGGGAGAAATATGCAGAAGAACGTGGAAGGGAGCAATTAAGAGGGATAAGGTTTATGGCAGGAGAAAAGGCAAGGGAATGAGTGATTATAGTATGTGTGTATACAGATTTATTAGTGGAAGAAAACATAGAAAGGTGGCTGGAATTACATGTTCAGAGTAATGAGTGTAGAGAAAGTGAGGGACAAATATGGTGTTTGGATGGGGTCATGGAGGGCATGAGTAGTGTTACAAGCAAACAAGTGGAGCCCAAGTGGAGTGAAGCACCTCCCACCTGTAATCCTGCTGGGGAGGCACACTAGGTTTTTATAATATATCACAAGCAACCTAAGCAGTACAGCAAATACGGCAAGGAGGGGTAACTGCCTGCACATTGCCTGCATATAGTGTGCATCAGGTGTGAAGTGAATGAGCACAGAGCAGCAGAGTGCCAGGAGCTGCTAAAATGCATTACCTGTGGTGGGAAGGGATGTGTACTGCAGGTGTCCAATAGCCTTTGCAAACAAGGTCTGAGCCCCCAAAGAACAGGCCGAATTGGAAGGGAACAGTGAGGGAAAAGAGAGGGGGTGAGACCAAGATAGAAATTGTGGAAGAGACCCTGCAAGAGGGAGAAAAAGAGAA